GACAATGGAAGAGAAAGCTGGACCCCGTGAGAGTGGCCCTGTGGCCTAAGGGCAGCGGGAGTCCAGCGGGCAGGGGCTCGGCGGCCCCCGCTGTGACCCTGAGACAAAGCTCCTCCTCACAAAGGCAATGGTGGCTTTACAGGCGGATGGGACGGAGGTCGAGGGCGCGGCACAGCCTGGCCTCGTGGGCATCCCCTGCCCCGGAGGAGGCCCGAGGCGATGGGCCGAGAGCCGGAGCCGCTGGCGACCTCCCTGCCAGCAGAGGCGGACTGAGGGCTTCTCCGGACCCAGCCGGTCCCTTCCTGGGGACATCCCCTCCCCGGACCCAGCCGGTCCCTTGACTGGGGGCTTCCCCGCCCTTCCTCCACCCGCCAGGCGCAGGGCCACCCCCGGGGACCCCCTCACACACCCCCAAAGCAGCCCCCACCTATGGCACAGGGCAGTCCCTAGGGACCCTGCAGCTTGTGGGCACAGTGACAACGTTCAGAAAGAGATCCAGGCTGAAAAATAGCGAAGTCCCTACAGTCCGGCCAGGATGCTGCCCCTCTCCTCCAGCTCCCCAGCTGCTGTTTCAGGGACTGATCACATCTCTATTTACAATATAGAACACGAGTGCGGGCCGGACGCTGCGCTCCCAGGGGCTCTTCCACGCAGGAAACCATTCAAAGCTGGAACTTGCTCCCTGTGGTTTGTTATATTTTTCTCTCTCTCTCTTTTTTTTTTTTTTTTTTTTTTTTTTTTTTTTTTTTTTTTTGTTTTTTTTTCCTCTTTTTTTTGTTTTTTTTTTTCCTTTTTGTTTTCTCTTTAAACGTCTTTTTTTGTTGTTGTTGTTGTTGTTTCAAGGACAATAAAAAGTTGCGATCAGGCAGGACTTGAATGTCATTCCTATAAGATTCGTATTTACAGGAGTCTACAGCAAAGAGACAGGCAGCTGGCTCCCCGTGCTCGGGGACACTCCTCATCCTATGCCCCAGGAACTCCACCAGCTCTGCGTGGACCTTTGGTACGTAAGCCCTTCTCTCCCTTCTCCGTGCCCTCCGCACCAGGAGCCTGCCCAGCCCTCCCCGGCAGCAGTTCGGGATGCTCGGCAATCGGGGTTGGGATGCTTTTCATCCTCCCCACCCACCCCCAGCCCCGGGCAACAAGGGGTTAAAAAGGCGCTCCTCTCACCCCTGTCTCGCCCTGCCCTGCTCCCCGCAGAGCGCCCTGCCTGGAGAAGCGGCCGGAGCCATAAAGCATCATCGAAGTGGAAAATGTTCCTCTGGCCTCTGCTCCCTGCCCCCCACGCCCAGCCTCACAGGTAGATCTCCCTCTTGGTGGTCTGGGCCGACGGGGTGGTGGCTGGCTGGAAGTCCGAGGTCTGGGTGAGAGGAATTTCCTCCATGGGAGAGTCCTTGCAGGGCTCATGGCTACTATTGGAGAAGGCACTGTACGTGGGGAGCAGGCGGAGGTTGGCCATTTTGGTGCTGCGCTCTTCCGACAGTCTGGGGCTGCCGTTCCCGACTTGCTCTTGACTCCCTCTGTCTTGGTAAGGCACAAAAGTGGAGAGTTTGAGGGCGTTCTTGGGCCTGCGGCTGGGGGAGGACTGGCCGGGCATCCAGCAGGTGTCGGAGTGGCCGAACTCTGTGCACTCCCGGGTGCAGGTCCCAGTCATGGCTACATCGGGCAGAGGCCGGAGATCTGCGGGGAACAAGGGACAGCGGTGTCACTCCCGGGAACCCCGCCTGGGGATGCAGGCATGGAGCGCAGGGGTGAGCGGCAGGCACTGGACCTGGACAGTCTCTGTCCTACCCACGCTGGCAGGGACAGCTGGACCCATGGACATCTGGGGAGCCGGACCCACAGACACCCCAGGAGCCGGACCCACGGACACACCGTGAGCTGGACCCATGGATACCCTGTGAGCTGAACTGGACCCACAGACACCCTGGGAGCTGGACCCATGGACACCCCAGGAGCTGGACCCACAGACAGCCAGGGAGCAAAGCAGAGCTGGGAGGGAAACCAGAGGCACAGAGAAACAGGAGGCAGAGCACAGGGCAGAGCTTCCCCAAGCCCCTTTGGAGACCAGGATCACAGAGGGAAGCTCCACAGCTTGGATTTGCACAGCAGGACACAGGCTGCCACACCAGGCTTGTGATCCCAGAAGTTTAGGTACCACCTGGAAGCTGCTAAGCTCCAGGAATTCCCACTGGGCACCACCCATGGCTTCACTGTGCAGAGCCAGAACTGCCCTGGGCTCAGTCCTGAGGCACAGCCATGTGTCCTGGGCAGCATCCTCGGGCATCCCTGCCCTGCTCCTACCAGGCATTCCAGGCCACATCCCAGCCTCCCCTGGCCCCCTCAGTGGGAGCCACAAACCCAGCCAGAAGTCCTGGTCTCTTGTGGAGCCTGAAATCCCCAAGCACACAGAGGCAAAGCCATGCCCATCCCCAGAGAGGCTGGAGATGCCATGGGGTGGCCTGTGGAGATGCCAGGGGTGCCCTGTGCACCAAACCCCTGGCCCTGAGGGAGCCCACCCGAGGGCACCACAGCTCAGCCAGGACTCTGAGCACCAGTTACACCAGTCCAGACTGGTGTCCTCACACACCAGCCACCCCCTGCCCCAGGTGTCCCTGAGCCTTGGCCAGGTGTCTTTGGCACAGGCAGCATCTGCCATGAGGCTTCTGAGGCCGGAATTTGCCACTTCCATGCAGAGCTGAGTGTCCCTCCAAGAGCCATCCCAGTCACGAGCCATTCCTTGATTCCTGTCCCAGTTTGGGACACCACACAGTGTCCTGGGACATGTCACTGCCTGCTGCCACAAGCAGACCCAGCCTGGTGCTGATGCTGGGGTGGAAGCAGGGGCTGTTCATGACCTTGGGGCTGCTCAGACTTCCAGATGTCCCTGTGGTTCCCAAAAATCCTCTCTGCATCTCAACCACCGTGGAGCTCTCTCCACTGATGCAGGGAGATGCTCAGGAGCTTTGGGGACCTGAGACATATGGGGCCACCCCCTCCCCACTGGACACACACTGGTCCGCACGATTCCCTCATCCCAAAATCAGGGCAGACCCACAGGCACTCCCTGAGCCCTGGGAAGAAGCAAACCAGAGCACCACAGTGGGGTTTCTGCCCTGGCCAACACTTCCCGTTCGGGACTGCTACACACCCAGGTCACCCTGGCACAGCTTTCACACACAGGATGCAGGAGGAGGCTCCAGGCAATGCTGGGAATGCTTGACACCGGCATGGATGAAGGGACAAAGTCAGCAGCCAAGCATTGTGTGAGCACGTCTTGCCCTAAAACAGCCCCCAGTGACTGTCCCCAAAGGCAGGCCAGTTTCCCCCTGGGGCCTGCTCCCACATTCCATCCCTGGTGCCCACAGGAGCTCCCCTTGGAAGCTGGGATATGCTGGTGGGAGCCACACGGACATACCTGATGGCAGCCCCCCTTCACAGCCTGCTCCGCTCGGGGGACTCTGATGAGGGGCAGAAAAAGGACGACAGCGTCACATCAGTGCACAGCCCCGGCCTCCACACCCCCTTCAGCCTCTGACACCCCCTGTCCCCCTGGTCCCCTCCTCAGCCCCTCCTGGCCCTGCTCCAGCCTCTCAGAGGCCGCTTGGCCACCGCTGCTACTCCCTCACTCCTTGCTCCAGCTTTATCCTGATCCCAATCCTCCGTGGAGTCGCGGGACTCACATGGGGACGCTGGAAACCGCCGGGGTGGTGCCACCAGAAGCTGAGGGGTTGTGGCTGTGCACACACAGAGGGATACAGACATGGATACACGCATGGATACACGCACAGACACGCGCACGACACATCACAGCGGGATGCTCCTCACGGTGCGGGGGACAGCCATGCTCGCGCTGCAGGGACAAAAAACAGCAGCACAAAAGCAGCACAGGGCATGGGCAGCATGAAGGCACAGCTTGGCAGGACACGGCCGTGGGGCTGGCCCTGCTTCCCAGGGAATCGCCTCCATCCTCTCTCCCGTGTCACATACAAAAGCAGAGGCACAACAGCTCCGTTTTCATCCCTGCTCCAGGCAAGTGGAAGCAGAGAATGGAATCTGAATCCAGGAGGATCTGTCAGGTTTTCCTCTCAGAACCACAGGATGCTCCAGTGGCCACACAATGGCTCAGCCACTTTGTGGTCTTTCCCTTCTGTCCAACAGGAATTATTGCCATCCTTTCCTCACCAACTTTCCTCCTGGACATCCTTTCCTCTTCCAGAAGGGCCCTGGCACTCTGTGCTCCCAGGGGAGTGGACGGGAGCCATCCCCTCTTCCTGGGGCAGAAGGAGCTTTGCTGAGCCCACAGAGGGGACTGGCAGGGCTGAAATAAAATCTACCTCTGCAGGGAACAAAGCTACGGAGATTTCCTCGTGCCAGCAGCAGCTTGGGAATGGCAGGATCAAGCAGGAACGCTGTGTTCAGGGTTTTTTATTCTGCTTTTCCCATTGTCTGCTCCTGGCACTGAAGCCTTTTTCTAGCATTGTCCCCTTGCTTGGAGGAGCGGATTCTGTGCCATGAGCCCGGAACGGGGCAGGGTGGAATTCCTGAATAGCTGGGACTGAGGGAAAACACGACCCCATGGCCTAATTCCCAGCACATGCTGGTGGCTCAGGGACTCTGATGTGCCACCAAGCACAAATCCCTCTTTGATGGGAATTTTCCCCAATTTTGTGGGGTGGTGAGGACACAGGCCCATGCCTCGGGGTGCACAAAGGGTACTCTGGATCTCAGATCCCTCCTCCACCAAAAATGCACTTTTGTGCCTCTGAAGCGCTGGAATGTGACAACATTCTCAGGGGTTGAAGAGGACGGCCACATCCTCTCCGGTATCAATGTGTCCTGGCCATGCCAAGTAAAGCTTTGTGCAGCTGCCGTGTTTTCCCGAGCTTTGGCCCCATCCTGGTTATTCCAGGCCACCAGACTGTGCTTCCCAGGAAAGGAAGTGGTTGCTTGGGCATTCACAACCCTCACATCCTCCTGGCTCCCCCTTTCCTGCAGCTTTGCCTCTCTCTGGCATCCCCTTGTCAGCTGCCTCACGGCACTCTTCTCCTTAGGGATGAATCCAGAGCTGTAAAAGCTGGATCCCTTTGGTTTCTTGGGGGTCATGGCTGGGGTTTTACACCAGGACTCCCTCAGAGATGCCAGGTTGGCTCCTCTGGGAAGAGGCACAAATTGGTGGTGCTGCTAATTATTCCTGTCTCACTCTCTCCCCACCCAGAGCAGGAGCTGAGTTACTCCAAAACCTTCCTGGGGGATCCCAGCAAAGCCCTGGGGCACTTTGGGAGCAAGACAAAAGCTGCAGCCTCAGCCAGCAGCACTTCCATCTCCTGCAGGAGACAGGCCACGCCTGGGAGCTCCAAGCAGAGGCTGAGAGCCAGCCCCAAGCATGTTCTTTATTGCCACCTTCTGCAACATCCCCAGCCTGATCCCATGTCTTGCATCAGTGCAGGGAGAGCAGGGATAGATGATGCAGTCTTGTAAGGGAAGGGAAGTGCTGGAGCAGCTCTGGGAGGGGAGGCAGTGGGGCTGTGACACAGCAGAGCATGGCAAAGGATGCAGAGAAGTCCAGGAAAGGGAAGGAGGGAAGCACAGCATGCCAGCAGGGACTGGAGAGGCTCAGCAGCATGGGGAAATGGGGAACGGGAATGTGGAGAGAGCAGCTGGGAGGAAAACCAGATGCTTTCCCAGAGCTGGGATCAGAAAGAGCCTTCTTCCCTCCCTGTGGAGAGCTCATTGCAGCCAGCTGCCCTGAAAGCAGAGCCCCAAAACCCTGACCTGTGCTGTCCCTGGGGACAGAGGGATGGAGCCCATGCTTCACCCTGGGGTGCCAGGGGCTCCAAAGGTGTGTCCTCAGCCAGGGAAAGGGGCAGTGTTCCCAGGAAGGGCAGCATGGCCACTGTGCTGTGGACACCTGGAAATGTTCTCCCATTCCATTCCAAGCCCTCATGGCTCTGCAGACCCCTTGGGACGACAGAGGTGGCCTCCCATGACATCACCTCCCAGCAGCACTGTCCCCGCTCCCTGTGCAACATGAGCTCCCTTCCTGCCCCACAGCTCCTGGTAGTCGGCACCATTCCCTATTCCACCATTCCTGGTGCCGTTCTCCTCCAGGAGCCATTCCCAGGAATCCCCGCTGCCCATGGCAGAGCTGCTGGAAGGCCCCATCCTGCCGTGCCAATGTTCTCCACAGGTGCCACTCTCCCACAGTGCCACTCCCCACAGGTGTGTCCCCACAGGTGTGTCCCCCACGGGAGTGTCCCCACAGGAGTGTCCCCCACGGTGTGCCTCCAAAGGCACAACTCTCCCGTGGCGCTGCTCCCTCCAGGTGCCATTTCCCGCAGCGCCATTCCTGGGAAGCGCCATCCCCCACGGCGCTGCTGCCTCCAGGTACGGGTCCCCCGGGGTGCCACGTCCTGCAGGTGCCATGTTCTGCGCTGCTGCCGCCTCCAGGTGCTGCCTCCCCCCGCTGCTGCCTTCCCTGCAGGCAGCGCTGCTGCAGTGCAGCCTTTTCCTCCAGGTTCCATGTTTTACAGCGCTGCTCCCCTCAGATACCACTTCCCTGCGGAGCTGCTCCCTCCAGGCACTGGTGCTGCTGCTCCCCTCCCTAGGGAACAGCTGGGATTGTGCAGCCAAACATCCCATGTTCCTGTGCTGGCTGGCCCCATTGCAATCCCATTGCTATCCCATCCTGTCCTGTCCTGTCCTGTCCTGTCCTGTCCTGTCCTGTCCTGTCCTGTCCTCTCCTCTCCTCTCCTC